CCTGTCTCTCTCTCCTCCTGCAGGCCTGACTCATACTGACTGTGTACCTGTCTCTCTCTCTCCTCTTTCTCAGAGAATTCCCCTGGGAAAGCAGATCCCTCCCTCCCTCCCTGGACACCAGGACTGCCTGATTCACACAGCCAGGATAACATTTCCCCAGGGAAAATGGACGCTGGGATTGGGAGTTACGCGGAGTAGGACCTGGAATAGCACGGAAGGCCAACGCACAGACGCTCAGTGCTGGAAGAGGGAAGTAAGCGCTCCGAACTGCACCTGGGAATATTTCAGCGTGGGACCGGGATTTGCACAGCAGAAACACAGGCTCTAGGACGGGGGTTTGGGAGGAGGAGACCGGACAGCGTCCGGCGGGCGGACACACCACTGCAGACCCCCGGGCCAGCAGGTCCAAGTCTCCCGAGGGTCCCAGCAGGCCGATGAAGGCGCGGACTGTCTCCGAACGCCCCCCGGGACGTGCCTGGGCACGCTCCCCAGCCCGGTCACACTAACCAGCATGCCTGTTCCAGAGGCTCGGGGCGGAACGGACCGGTGCCGGGCCTGACACTCGCCGGCGCGGACCCCAGATTTCATCGCGCCCTCGCGGTCAGGCCAGCAGGATCGACACCAAGGTAAGGTCACGCACTGTAGGGCGACCTCTGAGCTCCACCCCGACTGGGCTGCCCCCCCCCAGCTCGGAGCCTGTTTCCCCGTGGGACGCTTTTGGCTGAGGCGCTGCGGTGCAACGCTGAAACCGTTCCCCCGCGTCACTTCCTGCTGATCGAGCAGCTTGTGAGTTGGAGGAGGAGTTGGCACCTGGGCTCTGTCTTCGTTTTCTGCCCCGCGCCCCTCTTGGTGGGGGAGGGTATTAAAACAGCCTTGCTAACGAGCCACACCGCTTAACGAGCTACCTAATTGGCGACACCTGGTGGTGTGTGGGCTGGGCTCGGACACCTCAGAGCTGAGTCACGCAGCGACTTCTCTCTGTCTCTCCTCTGCAGACAGCAGGACAGCAGGCGGCCGCTGGCGTGACTGCTGATGAGCTCACGAGCCGGGTGGGAGGAGAGAGGGAGGGGGGGAGTGGGAACACAGAGGGGGACGAGGAGAGAGGGAGGGGGGGAGTGGGGACGCAGAGGGGGACAAGGAGATCGGACGAAGGGAGAAGGAGCTTTTCCTGCGTCTCCTCATGCTCACTCACATTAACA